TATATATATATATATATATATATATACACCTAATTATTGACGTTTTTTTATGTTAATTTAGAGAGACTTGCTGCTGTCTCCTTTTTTTATTTTATTATTTATTTATTTATTTATTTATTTATTATTAATTAATAATATATACATAATTAATTCAGGTGTATAGGCACCTTATTATAAAAGGAGACGAAGAAGACAGAGGAGACAGGAGACAATTAATTATACCTCTACCCTACTGTCTCCTTTTTTGTCTCCCTTTTTGTCTCCTTTTTTGTCTCCTTTTTTGTCTCCTTTTTTGTCTGCTTTTTTGTCTCCTTTTTTGTCTCCTACTGTCTCCTTTTATTTGTTAATAAGGAGACACTAAATAAATTAAATAAATAAATAAATAAATAAATAAATAAATAAATAAATAAATAAATAAATAAATAAATAAATAAATAACTAATGACTTATTAAAGACTATCTAGGAGGGAGACACCACCAAACGTTTCCCTTCTCTCCCCTGATTCGCTATACTGCTGCAGCAGCTGCTGCTGCTGCAGCGGCTGCTGCTGCTGCTGCTGCTGCTGTTGCTGCTGCAGCGGCTGATGATGCAGCGGCTGCTGCTGCTGCAGCGGCTGGAGGTACAGCTCTTGCTGCTGCTGCTGCGGCTGCTGCTGCAGCTCTTGCTGCAGCAGCAGCTGCTGGTACAGGTGTTGCTGATGCTGCTGTGGGTGTTGCAGCTGTTGGTGGTGCTGCTGCTGTTGCTGTTGCTGCTGTTGCTGTAGCTGTTGCTGCAGCTGGTGCAGCTGCTGGTGCTGTTGCTGCAGCAGCTCTAGCTGCTGCTCGTGTGGGAGGTTCTGCTGCTGCTGCTGCAGCTGCTTGAGCAGCTGCAGCTGCTGCATCCCTTTACTTGTCTCTACTGTTATTCTTGTTGCTGCTGCTGTTGCTGCTGTTGCTGCTGTTGTTGCTGTTGTTGTTGCTGCTGCTGGATTACTCTCTTCCATCTCTTGCTGCTGCAGCTCAGCAGCAGCAGCAGAGACAGTGTATCTCTGTGCTGCTGCTGCTTGCTGCAGCGAGGACTGGCCAAAGGATATCTCGGGTGTATAGGCACCTCTTTCTGCTGCTGTAGGTGTGGGGCCCGGTGCCTGAGGAGACACAAGAGGAGACAGTTGCGGTGTATGTGCAGCTAAGTGTCTCCTTTTTATTTATAAAGAGACACAAAGATAATATACAGAGAAAGAAGAAAGAAGGGAAAAAAGGAGACAAAAAGGAGACAGCAGAGGGACAAAGAAGAAAGAGACAAAAAGGAGCAGAAGGAGACACAACAAGAGGGACCTCAACGTACACCTGAAGGCAAAGAAGGAGACGTTCCTGCATGCAGCCCCACTGCATGCAGCCCCACAAGGGGGCCCTGTGTATTATCTCCTTTGCATGCATTAGCAGCAAACGAATTGTCTCTCCATTGTCTCCTTGGGGGGCCCCTAGGGGGGCCCCTAGGGGGTCCCCTAGAGTAGGAGCGCCAGTAGCTGCTAGAGTTCCCTCGTGCTGCTGCTGCTGCTGCTGCAGCACCTGCAGCAGCAGCAGCAGCAGCAGCTAGCCACTGCTGCAGCTCTGCTACTCCTGCCCCTGATACAGCACTCCAGCCTATTACTTGGCATCTGCAGACATAAAAGGAGACAAAAAGGAGACAAAAAAGGAGAAAAAAAGGACAAAAAGGAGACAAAAAAAAAGGAGACAAAAAGGAGACAAAAAAGCAGAAAAAAAGGACAAAAAGGAGACAAAAAAAAAGGAGACAATAAAGGAGACAATAAAGGAGAAAAAAAGGACAAAAAGGAGACAAAAAAAAAAAAAGAAAAAAAAAAAAAAAAAAAAAA